CAAATTATATCTAACCTAGGTCATATTATTGTTGTTACTATCAATATTAAAACTATCATTGTTGCTTTAAGAGACAAGCGCTGGAAAGACAGGACAGGTTTCGAGACTGAAAAAGTGGAAGATTAAAACAACAATAAAAACGATAAATTATGACTACTTCCCTGTACGAAACAACAATTCAGACACCTAATGTTGACATTATACATCAATCCGTTAATACAAACGTACAACAACACATCATGGAACCAATGTTGGCATAATTGTCGGTATCTCAAATCTTGAAGCCGGCCGAGGCCTTAAACTGTTCTTAGGATATTCAGCAGTGAATACAGCTGTTTTGCGAAGTCGACTGCTCGGATATCTAATCGTTTCTCGGCGCCGACTCAAACTCTTATCGTTGCTTAACCAACGGTGTTGCAATGCTTCTTCTGTTCGTATACGTCTTCTAAATACATAATAAAAAAAACATTAGTGAAAGCACTAAAATATTCAGTTTTTTAAAATTAAAAAAAGAAAGATTAAAGAAAAAAATTGCAGTTCCTTACAACGGATTTTTCTTTAATGCCCAAGTAACAAAGCGTAGAGATTCCTGTGTCGCTTGAACGAAAATCATATTTGGATTACATTTATCTTTTAATACATTGTTTTTCACCTCTTCTTCTGTATCAGTTTCATCGGCAAATGGGTGGAAACCTCCTAACCTAAAAACAGAGTCAAAAACTAGTCACATGATTTCTAATATTCACGAAAAATTTTTTTCCCAGTGAAAAAGTAAAAAATAAATGATTTAAGCTAGTAAAAATCACAACTAAAAGTAGAACTTACAAACAAAATGTGATAATACCCAATCCCCACACATCACTTTGAATATCAACTGGTTGTTTTGGATCATGCATTTCTGGTGCTGCCCAGTAAACATTTGGTGGTGTTGCATATTTGGCTTCTGAACCAGCAATTTGTGCACAACCAAAATCAACAATTTTTAAGTGCCAAGAACGGCGGCTCACAAACATTATATTAGACGGCTGAATGTCGAAATGAGCAATGCTGAAAAAAAAAATTTGTAAAACTACAGTTGAAATCATTCATTATTTTTCACAGTTCTTTCCTTTAATATCTAGAACTTTAGCTGTAAAGAACTACTGATGATCACAGCAATAGTAGTAAAATAAAACCAAAAAATTGTCTTATAAATTCGTAAATGTGGTGAACTAAGCAACCCCTTATAATGAATCCAATGTAGAGCAGAAACTATTTGAGCAACAGAGCAAGCCACTTGTTCTTCGTTATAATAATCGTAAAATATAAATCGTTGAAAGATATCCTCGTAAAGTTTTTCCATAAATGTATAAATACAGTTATCTCTAAATCAAAAATGATGAGAGGCTAAACTGCTTCAAAAAAGTTTGGTTTTTTTAGTTAAGTATTAGCACCACTTTGTTGACAGACATCTTATAGTAATATTTAAAGTCATTGTTACAAAAAACAGCAAAAAATTCTACTTCTGATAAGCAGCAATCAGATGAACGACGTTTTCGTGTTGGCACTCTTTCAAGGCCGTAAACTCGTGTAGCGGATCTACAGCCTCAGTGTTATGCTCAATGATCTTCGAGACACATTCTTTTTGAGTTCCGGACCGAGAATCAATGGCCAGGAGCAGCTTACTGAAACGGCCTTTAATAAGTTCGCCGACTATCTAAAATTAGTTTTACAGTAGTATTAGACAAGAATAGTTCAAAAATAACCAGAAAGAAAGAAAAAAAACGATATATGCAGCTTGCGGTCTAAAGAAGACAAATGTTTTCTAATAAAGCATACTGAATTAAATAAATAAGGTGAAAAACTAATAAGTTTAAAGTTATCTTTTAAAAATTATTTGATTAAAGAGCTATCTATATCGTAGTGTTGCTGAAAATAAAAAGACTGTGGCAGTAACTTACTTTGAACCTTTCTTCTGGATCTTCAGATGTATTCAAAATTAACGGTAAGCTGTTTTGTGTTTCCAAGGCACCTTCTATCGTTCCGGCTTCTTCTTCTTCCTCTTCTTCAGTGATTTCCTTAAGTGCTTGTTGGGGGAAAAGATGTTTAGCCGGTTTAGAAATGATGCGTAGCGGAACCCGTGCTTTGATTTCATCGGTTTGTAATTTTGGAACTCCTTAAAAAACAGATCGAAAAATGGTGATTACAAGGATTCTACCTAAATTTTTGAAGTAATAATAGAAAAGTTTAAATAATCAGTTACCTTTTGGATGAGTCTGGATAATCCGTGACGGTAATGATGGGATACCATAACCATAAACGTTTCTTACTGTGACACGGAACTGATAGACACCTAATGGTGTTAGATGTTTTATAATTGCCGCATCTTCCTCAATATCATCAGCCACCAAACGCCACTCAGAAAAGTGATCGTTTTCGCCTGCAGTTAGCAAAGATGATTTTTGTCTGACAGATCGGGTCAATTTAATTTCCGTGTCTTACAAATCACAACAGTAGTAAGAACGTAGCAAAAAAAAAAAAGAAGCAAATAAATAAATAGAAACTTTTTTTGTCAAATTTGATAACTCTGGGCTATACTTATCATATTATACTAATTGTTAACACGTAGTGTATCCTGTAAATTGATTACATAATTTTAAAATCATAAAGTTTTCGCAAGAAGCAAAAAGAAAAATAAATTTTTTCTTCAACATTGTATATGAACACAATCTAAAACTGTTTTTCATATCATTTAAATGTACCAAACTAAACGTTGTGAAAAAGACTTCGGGTTTTTTTTTTAATAAAACCGACAATTTTTGTCAAACTTTTGGCTATTCGACTATTTATTTTGAATAAAAAATAATTTTTCTTTTTGTTTTTTCTGTATATATAAAGCCAAAAAAAGCCGAAAACGGGTGTAAAGTTCAGTGTCACCTAGAAGATTTTAAGGTTATATTTGCTTATTTTTTCAGTGCATTTCTTTTCCACCTTAACTCTTTTCTGCAAAAAGAAAAAATTGACAGTCTTATTTTTATTTTATCACTTGAAAAATATTTTTGTTTCATTTTTTTTTTTTTTTTTTGAATTTTGCTAATTTGTTTTTTAAATAGGGGATGAATACGGCAAACCAGTTTGAAAACAAAAAAAAAAAAAAAAGAAAAAATCAAAGTTAAAGCGAAAACTTTTCTCAAACAAGACAAAAAATTACTTTGATCAAAGCATCATTACAGCTGATACCGTGCCAAAATTTCACAGCATAAAGAGAATCAAAAAAACATCAAAGTACAGCGAATACCTGCGGGTCTCAGCTCTAATCTGTACATAAACAGCTCAGTACCCGTCATGTTCATCGGTGGTTCCCACATTATAAATACCTCTGTGTCTGAAGAAAGTTCAACAACAGGTTGGCCGGCTCTGCCGGGAACATCTGAAGATAAACTTATTGTTTATAGCCTTGCGTTGCTGTAATTCATAATCAGAATTTTCAAGAAAGAAATAAATAGGCTGTATTCAGATGAATATTCGCTTTTGTTGATCATAAATGTGAGAAGGTCAAAATGACTGCCAAATGCATACCACCAGAAGTAAGTCGAGCACATGTTTTATCGGAACCGTATTCGTTAATCGCTGTACAGGTATAATCACCCAGTTCAGCATAAGATACATCGCATATCGTTAAGCGGCATGACTTACCATCGAAATACATCTACAAAAGAATAAAGAAAAAAATAATTGCAAAAAACTTTTGTATTTATTCACTTCAATTTTTCTAACTAAATTTTACAAGAATATAGTTGTTATTATAATTATTAAAAGTATTATTAAAAAAATTAGCAGCTTTTTGTACTGTATAGCATTAAAAAAAATGTGGTTAATTCTAAATGTTTTACGTGGTTGTACGACAAAAAAAATATGCTGTCAACTAAAAAACAGTTTGCAACTGATTACTTTTATAATTAATAGCAAATCGTTGACAACCAAATTGTCAAATAAAACCAATATTTAGATGCAAAAGTTTACTACCATTTTTTTTCAGTCTCTTCTTTCTGTTATTATTGTTTTTAAAAATACTTCAGGTAAAGAGCTTTTCTCTGCGTTTTTTTTAGGCAGAAAAAAACAAAATATTCTATTAGTCATACCTATCAAAAAAAAGCATCCGTTTAGTGTCAAAAAATAAAAAAAATAAAAAATTTAGAAAAAGTGTTTCAATTTTCACAAAATTATAGTGTTGCCTAACACGGTAGTTTACTGTTAACGATTAACAGTTCTGCTAATAAAGCTTTAAGTAACACACCTTATATTTAGGGTCCTCAGTAAGAACTGCTTCAAAATGTGACCAAATAATCTCCAATTTACCCTTTCCAACAACTTCACACTCCATAACGGCTGTTTTCGTATTTTCAGTTACTGGAACATCTTTT